TGGGGGGTGGGGGAGAGGGGCCACTGGCTGGGGGGTTTCACCACCCCCACCCCGTCACCTGGGGCCTTGGAATGTTTCCAGCCTTACCACGGTCCGGTTGCAGGTGCTTGCCTGCGCCTCTGCCTGAGCCAGGTTGTCCTGGGAGCGGGTGAGCTGGCGCTGCAGCAGGCGAGTGGTGTTGCTGCACTCTTCCTGCGCCCGCAGTCCGTCCCTGCAGGCTTCGCTGTTCGCCTTGACGGCGAAGATGATGAGCGGGATAACCAAGGCCACCAGGATCAGGACCGAGGCTGCGGCCAGGCACCGCCAGCGGATGCCACATCCCGGCTCCTTCTGGTCCATGGGCAACGGGTGATAGTGGTAGAAAGTGGGCGCCATGTGGTTTGTCGAGCCCGGAGCTTCCGAGGGCCCTGGAACCTTCTCGAGGTCACGCCCCTCCTTAGCATGGTGCCGGCTTCTAGCCAATAGAAACGAGAGTTCCTAGGGGCAAGTCCAGAGCAGTCCTGGGGCTATTTTCCCCGAGAAAGTACCCTTTCGGTTTCGGTTTCCTGGAAACGGAGGCATCCCTAAGTTCTGGAAAAGTCCAGTGCTTGGCCCTCCCTGTCCAGATACCGGATGCCTGGCGCTGGTGCGCTTGGGACTCTTCCGGACCCTGGCTACCCACAGTTGTTGTTGGTTCGGTCTCCAGGTAAGGAAACTAAGGCTGCAGGGTTGAGTGGACTGAAGCGCAGAGCGGTCTCCTTGGTGACCTTTGTATCCCCTTGGTCCTCGGAAGGACCATGGAGTTACGGAGTTACGGTGTTAGTGACTAGAGGAGGCACAGCAGGAAACCAAGACAGGCCGGGCCGGGCAGGGGAGGCCCGTGCTGCACCTGCCCATTTGGCCCTGGCCAACAAGCAAGCTCTTGTCCCGGCACCAGCGGCATCCTGGCGGGGACACCTGGCACCCAGGTCACAGCAAGCTCTCTGTGAATGGGTATGGGAAGGACCCTGAGGATCCAGAAGTGTTTTAGTATGCAGTAGGCATTCAATGGCGGCTCTGCAGTGGCTGGTGGGGGAAGACGGACACACAGTTTAGCAGGAGTCATGGCCTGGTGCTAGGATCGTGTTTTGAAGAAAGATGGTGGGTACCATTCAGGACATGCAGAGCGGCGCAGAGCCAGAGAGGGGTCTGGAGTATTGTTGCCCACCTGCCACCCCAGCTCTCATGAGGACAGGAGTTCAAGGCCAGCCTCAGCTAAATGGTAGCTGGGGCTACATGAGACCCTGCCTTAGACATATACCTCTGCCCCTTTCTATACCTCCAAAAACCAAACCCAAACCACAAAGTAAACATCAGAAGAGAGACCCTTCTGTTGGGGGTTGGAAGGGCCTTCCTGTCTGTCTGGCCAAGGAAGGAAGATTTTAACAGGTCTAGTTGCAGGCACCAGTCTGACATCTGGAGGGATTGTACACCTTTCCAGATTTCCAGCCACACCCTGATTACAACACAAATTTGGCTCAATGGATGAAATATTTGTTATCTTGGACAGCCAGATTGGGGCCCTGGGTGTTCCAGAAGGCCTTATGGGGTACCTGAGGCAGCAAACCAATGCCCTCTATCTGGAAGCCCCCGGTACAGCTGCTCAGTATCCAAGGAGGGCATAACGGTGTGACCCTCCCTGCTCCACATCCCCAGATGACTTAACCCCTGCAAGGAAGGGCTGTGGCCTTTGAGATGCCAAAGGTTATTTCCTGGGGTGGCCATCTTTCCAGCTGTGCAAACAGTCTAGGATCCTGCCAGAGACACAGAGTGGTGTGGGGATTCCCCTGAAGGCTTCACAGTAGGCAGGCAAAACTGATCAGGGTGAGGTAAGAATGAAACTCTGGTCAACCCCATTTTACTGTAACTGGTCCTGGATGTCTACAGTCTTGCCCAGAGACTCTTGACATCATTTTTACTTCAGCCATATTTAAGCACAGCACAATTTTGGAAAAAAGTATTCAGATAATGGTTAACTCAGTCCCAAATGCACAACAAAGCTTGAGACATGTTTACACTGTGGCTCTTTGCAAAGTACATCTGGCTTCATCCACAAGGTTGGCTCTTGTTGACTTAGAAACAATGCCTTGTCTCGGGACAAGGCAAACTGAGGTAAACAACACCAGTGGGTATCAGGATAGAAGTCACTCAGGCTGTTGTAAAGCATGGGTGATCTCACTCATAAGAGTGGGTTTTATGGCCTAAAAGCAATGCTCAAGGTTCTAAGGAGGAAGGGTCTGGGACCAGTAAATTCTGGGAGACACTGGCAGAGCTAGTTTTGTCAGATGGCAAAAGGTATAAAGGCAAAAGTGTGCAGAGCTCCCTCCAGAGGTCCTTTTGCAACCCTTTCTCTCTTCCTCCATGGACTTGGATTATTACAGCCTCACTCTGCTACTGTAAAGAAGATGGCCTCAGTACATTTCGATGCCTAAACTGGTATGCTCGATTTTTCACTGGTGGTAACTTCTGCCACTGCACAGACAAATGATCTGAAAATCTTTTATACCTAAACTCATTCTCCCTCCTCTATTTCTTCCCAAATACCTGTCTGGGGTAGCTCTTACATATGGAGACCTTCCACACCTAACTAACAGCCATCCTAATATGGTTGGGAAATTGTTCTATATCCAGCTGTCAAAGGTTGATTCAGTTCCCTCTAACTCCCTTATTCATCTCTCCTTCCCTGGGGCTTAACCCCTATGCCTGTTTTCTCTTTTTTTGTATATTAATTCCTGTCCTGGAACAGGGTTTATGATGGAATTTAAAAACCAGTGCTGTTTAATAAGGTATTAAAACTGCACCTCCACGTACAGGAACATACCTCGTGCTGGTAGCTGAACTTTTGTAATACAAGAGTCACTTAGGTGGTATTAGTTTAAAAAGACATGAAGGGGTGATGGAAAGCAACGGATACTTGGTGCTGTGTGTCAGTACTGAAATTCCAAAGAGAGCCCAGGAGAGCCTGTTGGTGAATATTCAGCTCAGTTGCAATTAAAGTGTTATGAAGACCTGAGAATGTGAAAGCTAAAGTAAGTTCTGAGGGCCCAATAAAGTGTATTGTAGTGTTGGGTGCTCAGTTTCACTGGGGTCTGTGGAAGAAACAGGGCCACTCTAGGATGAATCTTAGCTTTGAAGACACAGGCAGAGGAGCCAGATTCTGGCAAACTGACTGTAGCTTCCCAAAAGGCTTTTTTTTTATTGCTACATAGTATATAATTTAGCAAGTCAATTTCCACATACCTCTTAACTGGCCGGGTGTTGGTGTTGCATGCCTTTAATCCCAGCACTGGGAGGCAGAGGCAGGTGGATCTCTGTGAGTTCGAGGCCAACCTGGTCTCCAGAGCGAGTGCCAGGATAGGCTCCAAAGCTGCACAGAGAAACCCTGTCTCGAAAAACCACAAAACCAACCAACCAACCAAACAAACAAACACACACAAAATCCTCTTAACTGAAGCTTCCCAAAGAGACAAATGCCAAATTAATTCTTAGTCACATGGCATTTTGGTTTTCCAAGTTCCCTTGCAACCAAGCTTTGAAGAGGCTTTGAGCCCTGACACAAAAATTAACGGTCACCAAAGGCCGACCAAAGTCCTGGTGTCAGCACTCTGGCATCAAGCAGGCTGCTGTGCTCTGTGGTGGGTAAAGGTCTGAGGATACAAAAGCTTAAGAAAGTTCTGTGGGTCTAAGAAAGAGATTTTAGGTATGCAAATGACAGTTCTGAAGGGATAAGAAAGTGTTTTATTTTATTTT